GGGAATTATAGATCTTTCATCTGCTGACACTGAGAAAAGTGAGCTCTTTAAGAAATGTTTTCTTAATTACTCCTTCTTCATATTGCTACTCATTCTTTGTGAATATTAGCATCTTTCAGGTGGAAGGAGAGGACCCTGTGTAGCACCTAGTGGGAAAAGGGTAAAACGAGAGTCCGGCTGGGAACTTTGTCCTGCTCCGCACCCTGCCAGGCCCTAGGGACCCTCATCCCTGCAGGATGAAGACCAGTGATAGAGAGGAACTAACCAAAGACTGAAATAAGAGAGGGCATGGAGAAGCAGAAGAGCCACCGAATCAGGGATATCTGTAGCAATTCCAAAAGCCACAGCTGGATTTCTTCTGCCCAGTGTTGGCTGTGCACAGAACCGCCCCTCTCTCTCTTACAGTATTCTTGCACCCATACATTTCACACCCAATCTCTTTTCATTTTTCTTCCTCTCTGGTCCTCACCAGCAGTCATATGATTTATCCACTGTAAAATAACCCTCCCAATTACTCCTCTTCTACATAGAATTTACATGTCTTTTATTTGGCCCTTTTATATACTTTACTCTTACTTTATCCTTCACCTTTTCCTGTTACAGTCTTTATCTTATCTACAGGGATTATCTGCACACAGTGACATTCTGACACTGGCTGGGTTTTCATCATGACCAGATTAAACACAGTAAGTGAAGGGCATTGCAGACTGAGTAGCTGTGTGGACAGGCTGGGCATGGATGCTCATATGCAGAATGATGAAAGCAAGAGCCAGTCAGCTCAGGGACATGGGAGGTATGCTGCAGAAGGAAATATCAGGAGGCTACTGGGCTATCTGTCCCATCAGTCCATGCTGACTATTAGATTGACTACTGACTATTGTCAACAGACAATGGCAGAGCTGAGGGTCAGGAACTGACCCAGAGGACTAATCTGATGATGTCTATCACAAAAAGCTCTACTTCTAGAAAGCATCTTGATGGCAAAAGAGGCACTGAATGTGTCACCTCTGGAGTTAGTCAGTGCTTCCCTAACCATCCTAGGGACAAACTTTATAGCATTCCTGCTGATTCAGTGCCATAGTAATTTGCTCGTTGCTCCAAATGTAGATCTCTCACATGTAACATAAATATACCCACTGGGATGATTTTGAAAATGTCTACCTCTTCTCTTGGGGATTTACTTACAAAGTTGGCTGATATTACTGCATCAACAGAGAGCAGAGATTGTCTTCTCACATACACTGATCATACACAAGACCTATGTCTTTGGCTTGCATGGATGAATTTCCAAAAACCCAGACATTCGAGTGTCCTTAATCTGAGTCAGATAGCTGATGTAAAGACAAACAGGTGGCAGAAAGTGCAGTTTCCATACAAGAACAGTACTGGATTTTGTGTTAGTTCTGAAGGATAAATACCTGGCTGTATCTGTTACCAAGCGAGTGTATGACATCAATGTACTGCAGCATCAGGAAAGGCAAATGAGATCTGAGAAGGTATAAACTGAGGTGTCTTCCTCTTCCAGGAGAGATAATTATGCACTAATGCCCTAATAAAATCTTAACCAACATAGTGTGTACTGTTCCTATCCATCCTGCCCAGAAATGATGAACTCCAAGTATAGCAAATGCAGAGCAGAATATTTACATGAAAAAGGCCCATCTCACAACAGAAAGCTGAAGAGCACGGCTTGTTCACTTCAGCAAAATGAGGATGAGGGAGAAAAGTTCCACCCCAGAAACACACCAGGAAGGGGAAAAATGCTCTTTAAACTGAAGGACAATAGTGAAAGGGAGTTGGGGACCTTTAAAGGTCCCTTCCAACTTGAACTATTCTATGATTCTATGAAAGAAGAACAAATAAATATAAACCAGATAGAAATAATTTGGGGCCGGAAATAGAAGATGGCTTCTGATAGTCAAATAAACACAGCTTAGCATGTCTTGGGCAGAGCCCTCTACAAAGAAGATGTGTGATGGACCAGCATCATCACTCTATGCCAGTTCCCCAGGGTATCAAACAGGCGAGCAGCGAGCTGCTCCAGCTGCTGGGCTTGAGAACCTTGCAGAAGAGCTTGGGATTTTACCTCTATCTGTTTCCTTCCTATTTGTGCTTTCCCGGTCACCAAAAGCGTAAAACAAGGCAAACCTATCCATACTTGTGAAATCCCGATATTTTCAAATCAAAAACCTTGCTCACTCTAGTAACACCTGCTTCCCCCCCAAAAAAAGTGTTTTACACCCGAGGCCCGGGGAGGGAGGTAGCAGGCATGTGCAGAGACCCTCAGCACCAGCGACCTGGGGTTTTAGCAGAGTGTCAGGGAGAGAGGACGACCCAAAAAACTCGAAACAAAAACAAAAAACACCCCAAAGCAACCCCGCTCCCCGGCGCTGTGCAACACTGCAGTGACACCGCGCCCGCCGCCCCGGGGACAGGGGCTGCCGCCGAGGG